TTCTATATCCTTTAACTTCTTCTCCATAACCCACCATTATTCCTTTTTCTGCTTTAGAGTCCCATTTCCTTCTCTTTTCCTTTGGTATATGTGTGTACACAGGTGTACCAAAAATCTTTAAAGCGTGAAGGTCAAATGTCTTGCCTTCCCAGAGTTCATAAGGAGTTTTCCCTTCTTCACGACTCTTTGCTGTTCGATTTAACACATATGCAGCAGTATTTATAGCTTCTGCCCACAGATTCTTTGGTAAATCCTTCGCACACAGCATTGTCCTAGCTGATTCAACAAGGGTTCTATTTTCCCTCTCCACCTTGCCGTTTTGTTCTGGCATATATGGTACGGTAGTCTGATGCACAATACCATACTTCAAGAATAACTGTTGAACATCTTTGTTCACAAATTCCAGCCCATTGTCACTTCTAAAATATTTTACTTTATTACCAGTTACATTTTCAGTTTTCTTTATAAATTTCTCAATATACTCCTTCACTTCATGTTTGCTTTTCATAAAATACACATTTCTATAATTAGAGTAGTCATCTTTTAGTACAAGTAAATATCTGGAGCCTCCTACAGACCTCTCCTCCATGGGTCCGCAAACATCGGCGTGAATCAATTCACATATTTTAGACGACTTGTTTACACTCGCTTTGAAAGGTAAACGATGCATTTTGCCGTGTAAACATGCTTTGCACTTATCAATGTCTTCATCTTCCACAGCAATATTATTGTTTTCTAAGATCGTTTTGATGAACTGTTTGTTTTGATGTGCTAGCTTCTCATGCCACTCATTGAGACTAGTTTTTATCTGAACCACATTTGCAGAACTACTTTTATACCGCACTTCCATACAATACATTCCGTTAGCACCGGTACGATTCGCTATTAGCGCAATTTCGTTTTTCTTGTTAAAGAATTTGCAACAACTGTCATCTGTCAACATGACATAACCTTTCGACGCCGCGCATTTTACAGAAAATAAGTTCGTTTTCAAACTTGGAACGTACAGTACATTGTCAATGGTAGTTTCGACCCACTCACGTCCATTATGCACTTTTACTGCCATCTTTCCACAACCTTCCGCATTAATTACGTTTCCGTTTCCGACAATCACAGACTTCTGCGATAATGGCGAATATGTCGAAAACAATGCACGATTGTTACACATGTGTTCACTTGCACCCGTGTCTACTAACCACTGAGATCGAGTTAACTGTTCCTCACAATCATCTATAACCACAAATGCGTTACTGTTGCTGTTACTGTTCCTATTTTTCTTAAACCAGCACTCACTTTTAAGATGTCCGAATTTGTTGCAATAAAAACATTTTTTGTCCGACTTGCTTGTGAAACTATTCTCATTACTTTTGCATTCAGATTTGTAGTGCCCCATTTTATGACACTTGTAGCACTTTACTGTTTTCTTATTAACATTTCTAGCGACAAATGCCGAAGATTGACTATTTTCGCCGCTTTTCTCCTTCAACCTTTCTTCTTCGATTAATAACCTGGCAACAAGGTCATCATAGGTTTGTTTATCATCTGGCGCAGACTCCCACGCAGACACGAAATGACGATATTTTTCTGGTAACGACATCAACACCTTAGTAATTACTAGTTTATCTGAGACCGCTTCTCCCAACTGTTTTAGTTGATTCTGTAATTCTTGGATTTTAGACAAAAACATTGCCATTTCCATACCTTCCTCGTATTTGTACTGGAAAAAGCGCTGCTGAATAATATGTATGCTAGTTTCGCTTTTTTGTTCGTATACACTGGCCAATTTTTGCCACATCTTCGCTGACGTATTACAAGAAAGAATATGTAGCATGACCTGCTCATCCATTCTTGTGACAAGATATGATTGTGCTTTAGCGTCCTTTGCCAGCCATTGTTTCTTTGATTCAGCTTGTTCTGGTTTTTCCGTACTGCCTTCCACTATGTCCAGTAAACTTTGACCTCTCAATAGAATTTTTGTTTAAAATTTCCACACGTTCCAATTCTTGGAACCTTCCAATTTAATTACTGATTGGTTTCCTTCCATTGTGCTCTTGACCTTCCTGCCCGTCTTCCTTCCTTGCTCCTGTTCCGAACAAGTATTTACTTGGCTATCACACCACACCCGGCGACCTAACCTCAAACTATTTGACGCGTCACACGTTATTTGACGAAACAGTTTTTTGTTTTGTTTTACTTATTACAGGAATATGTGACTGGGCCCATAACCTGTTAGAATATAAGTAAAACACTTATATACTTTAACTATTCTTTAATTTGGAAATATCTCAAAATACAACCGCACAATGCACTTCGACCATAGATCCGGAAACTGACATAGTGTTACATCTTTTCTTTTTTTTTTTATATTACATTATGGACATTGCCATTTAACAATTTATTTATTTGTCAACAAACAAAAACCGGCTCGTGCGCGAATTACGACTATTGTATCCAGCTTTGCCAATTTGTGGGGAATTCCCCAAATTGTGGGAAATTTCAACTAGATTGAGGATTCTGTGGGCTTGGGGCTATTTGAGGAAAATCTGGAGATTCTAACATTTTATCATTTTGTTTAATCTATCAATTGCTGATGCATCGCTAGTTTGATCGTTACTGTTAGAATCACTGTGATGGACTATATCGTGTTTTTCAACATCGCACATCCCTCGTCTTATTAACAAGCAGTTTAAATAGAATTATTATTAGAGCACTTGGTTCTGAACTGTAAAATTACCAGTCGGTGCGTGTTGAGTTCGCGATTCTTTCTCCCGCTTAGGCCGGTTCCCGGTATGAAGCAAAACGAAATCAGCTTTTGATAAACAAAGCCGAGCAGTTAGTACTTCCACACCACAACTTACCACTCGTCAACTTTATATATTAAATATAGGTCGAAACTCATTGACTATTTCTAACAATAACATAGTGTCACCAAATGCTCAACAAAGAATCAATTTACTTAATTTTGTAAGGCAAAGAAAAATGAATTTTTTTTCAAAGACTGATCACAGATTAATGTTGAATCTAATTAAAATAAATAAACGATTTAAGGTCATCTAATTTTATAATTACTTTTACGTTTTACATTCACAGCAAACGTAATAGATTATTACATTTTGAGTTTCTTAATTCTTTATTATATTTTTAAGCGATGTATTTCTAATAAATAATGAAAACTCGAGATGTGGGAATTTGTGGTTTTGGGTCAAATTTGGGGATATTAACCGTGATTTTTGGGAATTTTGAACAATTGGCATTGGCAACGCTGATTGTATCGAATGATGTAATTTAATATCCAAGGTTCACCATCTCAACCAGATCTTTTAATATTCTTTACTTTATCCATTTTGCATAAACTCTTACAAAGTCCAATAGAGTAAAAACCCTAATTGTAGTGTTTTATAAAATAATATCTACTGAAGAAGCGCTATAACGTGTTTGTCATAAGTACAAACACTACAGAATGTCTATAAATTAAATATATCTAGAATAAACTTAAGAACACTAGTTTTTGGAGTACTACTAGACTTTACTGGATGTGTATAGAACAATTTTAATAAAAATAATCAGCTGTTCTACAGAAGAACTTAAAATAAGGACTATAAGAGCAAATTTTAAAAGAGATTACACTTAATTAAGTTGTTTGGTATTAAGGTTTTAAAATTTTGGCTTGAGTGAAATAAGTCTATAAGAACAATTTCTCTTTTCTAAAACAATTTATAGAGAACTATTATCTAAATCTATATCATATTAAGACTGTTTATAGATATAACAGTTTTAAGGCGTATAAAGTGTGCTCCTTGGGACAGCACACATACGAGTAGTTGTGTCTTCATTGGGTAGGTTAGGTTTTTGTTTGTGTACTTGTTTCTTTTTCTATTGTTGTGTGTGCTTGTGGTAGCTTTATCGAGCTATATTCTTTATTCAAAAATAACTTACTACGTAAATATGGTGAAATGAAGATATAATGTTTTGAATAATCAAATGGACAATATCTCGTAGATAACGGTGTAAATTCTAAAAAAGTGTAGAGATTGGTGAATTTATAAAGACTTTATATTGCTGATCTGTTTGTTCGTGTTATTTGCATTAGCATAAGAAGTATTTATGTCGCTTTTTTTCTTGTATGATCCCCAGTGACAATAGGAACAAGTGATGCGCCTGACGGTAAGTGACACGCCTGTCCATAACTGTTGTAGTATCACTCAGAGCTTTAAATACACCGTGACCCTGAGACATTAAGTTGACAAGTTCCATGTGCCTGTAATTTCACCAGCACTTGGGCGCAGTGGCAGTGCCCCGCAGATCTTTGCTATTTAAAGCTCTGAGTGACATTGATACTGTTATGGACAGGCGTGTAGCTTACCGTCAGGCGCACGACTTGTTCGTCCCGTCTCTTGATATTATTAAAAAAAATATCGTCAGTCATCATTGTCAGCGAAAGAGGGTAGACAGATATGTTTGCTGTTAGAGCCGTCATCTGCCGCTGGCCAGTCAACCCGTGACCACGGAGCGTGGAACCATTCCGAAATGTCAGAATAACAAAAAGAACTCATGCCGTGGTAAGAAACCTGTAATTAGTGATAATCTTTTAGTGAATAACCACGAAAGCCTTAAAATGTAAGATAATGATACTATTTTTTAAAGTAATATTTTAGAAAATAAAATGAATGTGGGTTACGCCATTTTTGAGCTGACTGCTTCACTTTATAAGCGCTTTAATTATTTCATCTTAAAACACGAAATCTTAACTCTAGAACCTTTTGAGAATTCAGCACCGAATAAAGAGGTACTTTGTGAAAATCATCACGTGATATGTGTGTGTGTAACCACTATCGTGATTCTAACTTGTATCACATAGAGAGATATGAATATGAATATCAACGATAATAGCCATAGATAAAGATTTTTGTGTAGGTGCACCTGATTCCCAGAATTAGTTGGTGGCTATTGCTATTGGAGTTTCGTATCTGTATATATTTATTTCCTTTGTCTTGGAATATTTCAGCTTAGACATCATGGACATGTCAAGTGAGTGCTTTTTCTTAACGAATCTATGCTTTAAATAAATATGTTTTTGTACGTAAGGATTTTGTAACTAAATACATCAAAATTGGATTTATAAGCAAATAAATATGGTGAAAAATTGTGTTCAACAAAATTTTGTGAATATCATTGAATAGGCTGTAAAACAGGATTGTATACAAGGCTTCGTATTTTGTAAGGATGATGATTGGCAAAATTTTTCGTGGGTTCTTTATATGTATTACTAGGAAGACTAATTTCTCGTCATCCTACTGACATATAGAACAATGACAAATACTTTTATGTACTTTCAATTTTTTTTTATAACACAAATACTTACTCCAAAAATAAGTTGGCTGCTTTTACGGCTTATTGATACAAATAGATGCAATAACCCTCTGATTGTATGTTCTCAGTGGTCTAACGGTTTATAACGATAACGAAATCAAACGAACCTTTCTAAGTTAGTTCTGGTTTGGGTGCTTTGAAAAGTGCCTGTTCCTGAGTTTGAGACCAGACAATTGGTGTAAATACGTCAGCTTAAGATAGCTCTAAGATAGCTTCAGCTAAAGGCTCCGAAATGCTCACGGTAAATTTGAGATCAAATTTCGCCCATAAATTAAAGAACCGGATTAAAACCCACGGCCTGCTTGAGTGGTGGAACAGTCAAGAGCATATCAAACTTGACACTTTTTCCTTTGGACCGTTTATTTTTAATTTAAGTCTTAAGTATCAAGCTTGACGTGTTCATGACCCTGTACGTTAAAATACTGGGCTACCATAGCTTTTAATCACATTAAATAATTACAGTGCCAGGCAACCACACCAGTTATCTGGTTCGGAACTAGGAAATTCTACCCAGAACACTCAGACCAGGACCAATTTAGAGCTAGCGCTCTGTAGCTTAGCTCAAAAATAGTTATTCCATTTTTAACATTCTGTATATTTCGAAAAATCAATGCAAAGTTCAGGATACGAAATAAAATTAGAGATATCAGTACACTGATAGTTGTTTCTCTGCTACCATTGTAAATTTAATCCGTGACGTCATATGTTTATCAATATTTGTTGTTGAAATCACTAGGCGGTATTTTAATTATCACATCGATTAATTAGTCTCAAGCCAGGTAATTCTCGAAGAGTATCTGAGCCAGAAATTCGCTAGGCACCATCTGGACCAGAAAAAATTTTGAAAAGTCCCATTCTTTGTTACATATATCTACTGCCTCTCTCAATGTGCGCCATTTTGCCCGGTCCTCAGCTTGTCGCATCCAATTTGACACTTCATCTATTCAGAGGGCGTCTTACGTCCGTGGTCTCCACTCAAGAACTCGCTTCTCCCGTCTGTTATCTGTTCTTTGACAGATATGGCAAACCCACTACCACTTTAGCTTGCTTATTCCACCAGCTATGTCAATGATTCTGGTTCTCTATCGGGTAAACTCATTTAGAATCTTATCCCTCTGAGAAACTCCAAGCATAACTCGTTCCATAGGTTGCTGTGCGAATTTTAGGTGGTGACCTAGTCGTATCGTATGCGTCTCGGCTCCGTATGTCATTACGGGTAGCACACATTGATTGAAAACCTTTGTAGTCAATTTTTGTGGCATATAATTAAAATGACGTAATAAAAAAAAAAACTATTGCTCCACAGAAATTATGAAATTGGGACACTATATCATAATAATCTCAGTACAGAGTACTAAAAAAACCGACCTCAAAAGTACGTGGAATTACGTCTATAAGTTCTATTGAAATATCACCTAGTTCGCCACTGTACAGGACTTGACACAGGAGATAATAAAAATTGGTTCTCACGGCTCTCACTGCTCAAAGTATATTGAGAGAGAAAACGCCTTGAATTGGAGAATAGCAAAATCAACCATTAAAATAATTGTTCCATATGTAAAATTTAGGCGCTATTTATAAAAATGAATCTTCATGCGTGAACAGCCACCGTTAGAGGTGAATGATTTTCTTCAAAATAAAATGAGACCACAATGGAGCTACCCTCTTTCTTACAAAAAAAGAATCATGAAATCGTTTCACAAATACCGGAGTTATTGCGTAATAATAATGATAATAACACACACACTCAACATAGCCCCGCACTAGGGAAACCCTGTGTCGCGGGTGCCATGGACACACATATAGACAACCACAAATTACACCCAAACTCACGAGAGAAACAAATGTAGGTCATACAAATATTTCTCCCGGCCCGGGAATCGAACCTGGGACCTCTGCGTGGCAGTCCGGCATGGTAACCGTTCGGCCACAGAGGTAGTCAACATACATACAAAAAAAAAGAAACATACAGTCGAATTGAGAACCTCCTCCTTTTTTTGAAGTCGGTTAAAAATGAATATTGTATATTTATTGCAATTGCGATTAAACTTTCATAAATTGTTATGCCCTCGGCCGCTAGAGTTTAATAAGCGTTAGATCCAATTCATGGGTACGCTTCTTCTCTTGGCAGGGTTAGGCCATTATAATTATTATTATTCATCTGATTGCGATAAAATGCCCGTAAAATTAATGATATATTGTTTATTCGTGTTCTGTTTACGTTTGTAGCTATTCGCTTGTCCCACAAGCTAGGTGATTGGACTAACTATAGCAACATTCAGTGACGAAGGTTGTCCGTGTAATACTTATTTTAAAATTAGCCCTACCAAAACGAATCCAAGTCCTCCTCATCTATTACTAAGTTCTTGGCCACTGACGTGTCCAGTCCATCAAAGCATACTTAAACTATTGTTAATAGACAATTTAATTTGTATTACAGAAGAACAAGGTCATGCGTCAGTTTATCCGTCAAGTGGTGAGCCATACCACCCACCAGCGCCTCCGTCATACGATGCAGTAACCTCATCCAGTGCACCTCCACAAGTCCACACCGCAAGTCCACAATATGTCAACACAGGACCAACGATCATCACCACAGGACCTCAAGTGTATAGAGCAGGCCCTACAATAATCACAACGCAGCCCGTGTTCACCCCAACGGTAATGGCGGTTCTAGGATCGTCTCCATCATTGACCGTCTGCCGAGTTTGTAACTGCCAGGTTCTAACCAGAGTGGACTCGGAACCGTCGATGATGACACACTTATGTGCTGGCATTTTATGTATTACTGGGTAAGTTATTTTCTTAGTGCCTGTAGAAATTGAAGTTAAAATTGGTTTATTGCCATTTTGTCCAAATTGAAACAGCAAATTTCTGCTGACGAGTTTCGGGTTGATTGCCTGTACAGATTTGGGAACCAACTCTTCTAAATTGGTCTTATTTTCTTAGTAGTTTTCAGGGATCAACGGCCTAGCTCTGGTTGTTGGCAACCTGTATTGTACCATTCTTTGCCGTATCATTCTTTTTGGCCAATGTATTTGAATTATAGTTCCATTCTTATATTTGACTATACGCTAACAGAGAAAACCGGGTTCAATTTTAACATCTTTAACACTTGTATTATTATTATCATCAAGCTGGCCCAATACTGGGTGGGTTTACCCTGCACACTTTATTTAAATAGAAATGCCATCTTTAAAATTCTAACTAAAAAATCTTCGATTTTCAGACTATGGCCATGTGTTTGTCTTCCCTACTGCATGGGTTCTTGCTACAACAACGACCACTACTGCTCCAACTGCAACGCGCATATTGGCCGTAGCCAAAACTACTAGCTTTTTCCCTAAAGCCCATTGTATACCAAAGTTTAGAGAAGAACTTTCGGATCTAAAGTCTTGTATGTTTTTTTTAAAAAACAACAAGCAGTGACCATAAAACATGTAAAGATTCCAAAAATTTGTTTTTTATTGATATTTGAATCGTTTATTTCAATTTTAAATCCAGAAACATTAGTTTCATATTCAAAATGAAAACTTAAGAATGATAAGAAGAAAAGTGTTATAGCAACCAATAGTGTACGTTAGTCAAAATAACACATGCACTGTACATTATAAAACATTCCTTTTACTTTGGTATATAATGGACCTAACGTCAAAGATGTCGCAATTGAGTGTAATTCGACCTGTATTACGACACACAGCCTTTAAAAAAGAAATTACCTGATTACAACAAATAACAACAACAAAGTTGTATTGTCCTTTTTATTATAACATGTGTAATAAACTGTTATGTATATTTAGTATATAATTCAGTTAGACCGGGTTCTGCAAGTTTTTTTAGCGGGTTTTATTAGCAGTAGAGCTCCTTGTGAAATAGGTCGTCCAGGGAAGTACTGCCACCTTACCTATTTCTGGCACCAAGCAGTAATATGAGCATTATTGCGTTCCGTAGTTTTGAAGGGTAAGCGTGCTGGCGAAATTACGTAATATATAAATATTATATGAGACTTGTCAACTTATGTCTCAGGGTGACGAGCGCAGCGGTAGTGCTCCTCAGATCTTTGCGATTTAAAGCTCTGAGTTGCACTGTAATAAGCAGGCGTGTCGCATACCACCATTGACTTACAATTATTCGTCGTTACTTTCCATCAGGTGAGATGGAGGTCAAATGCACACTAACATTAGAATAAAAAAAAACATTAAAATCAGCCACGGCATTAGATCAATTTAAGTGTTTATTAAAACAGTGGTTGAAAGAAAAAACATATTATAGTATAAATAAAATATTTGATAATTATTCAGAAATCAGAAATCAGAAACATTTACTCATTGACATACAATTATATGGACGTCGGGTCCGCGCTAAAAAGTGTCCGAACTTATACGGCGTTAAAATCGTATACAGAGCGTCATTCACGCTTTAGTCTTCGTTTGTTCGACTGACAGCGAAGCAAGCAAAATTAGACAGTACTGCGATGACATTACAATTCAAATTCAACATTTTAGCTTTTTCATATTCCTTTACATGTCACTACGTTTAAATAGGTTGACTTGGGACATTTTTTTCGTGGTTTTTGTATTAGACCCGTCGTCCATTTATTTCTAAGTCAATGCATACCACCAGGCGCATGACTTTTTCGTCCTGTCATTTGGTGTCATAAAAAAAAGTGAGTCAGCGTACTTATTCACGTAAAATCGCACTAAGTCGGTCAGAAAAGTTCATACTCTATGAGCGACATTGTGCGTCCTAATTCCGCTCGGATCGAAAAAGACGTTGAACATCTTTTTCGCTCTTAATATATTGAAGACTTCGATAGCCCAACAGTTTGCTCTGTGGACAGTGGATGAAGATTTCGCGGGTTCGATTCTCGGTAGGACTTTTCTAAATTGGTTCTGGAGAACACCCAGATTCTTTGTTGTGAGTGAGTTCCGTTCCTCATAGTACAGGGTATTCCTAGTTTGGGACCAATCGAGACTAAAAGACGCATGGTGAGAATGAAGCTTCATATTTGACATTGTTTTTTGTAATTCGGTCGAGTGTTACTTATTTGACAGTAATTATTTCCGTTTGATATCAGATGGAGGACGAAAGTAGACACTTGGTCATTATTGTCATAAAAACGATTCCGTATCTTTTTTATTTTAGAAGTTGGGGTGCTAGTATACTTCTGCAATCAATGAGAGTAAGGAGAAGTATTTCTTAAGTCAAACAACTTGAAGTCCATT